CAGTGGAAGGCCACTGTGTCCAGGTCTGGGTTCCGCCCTCTCCCGTGGCCTCCCTTCCACTTAGAGTCCCCCATCCTGAAATGAGGAAGATCATCACATCACACTGGGTTAGTACTTTCATTGTTCTCGGTAGCATTAGGCAGTGATCCCAGTCCCTAGCAGGTGGACATGCAGACCTAGCTTGATGCGGAAGTGAAGACAGCCAAGCGCTGCTCCCCTGAGGGCACAACTGCCAGGGCCTCCACCTCCCCGCCCCCACGGGTGGGCTTCTGGAAGTGGATCTCCAGGATGTCATGCAGTTCTTGGGCATCCAGGACATCAGGAATATTCGTCACCAGCACTGAGTGAAGTGCTGGCTGGTATTTGATCTAGAAAAAGACAGGAAACAAGGACTCATTGGAATACAGGGCCGTGGGGGGCAGAGGTTGGAATGAGGAGTACCTCATGAAAACATGGGATGGGTCTGGAAGGCCAGGAAGGCTGCTGGGTAGGCCATTAAGGTTTGGGGGCCCTGAGCCCTCCCCAGGCAGGTGTTGGGCAGGTAGACGCTTCCCTGGCCTCACCCACCACTTACCTCCGCTCTCTGGATCTTCCCGCTCACATAGGGAGAGACTCTCAGAGGGACCTGCTGTCGGCCCAGTGACACTGTGAACTGGCCAATCTGGCACAGGTGCTGGGCCACTGTGAGGAACAGGGAGGGGTGGGTGGCCTTTGTCATTAAGGCCTTTCCTCTCCCAGTCTCGTGCACCCTGACCCCCAGCCTCCCCGGCAGGACCCATACCTTGTTCATCAGCAAAACCTAGCATGACGGTCCCTTGTAGCATCTCCCGGGCCTCCACATCCCCGCCTCCGTTCTTGGCCTTGCCAAAGAAGATCTCCAACTTGTCGAGCAGCTCCTCCTCACTCAGCTTCAGTCCAGCAGGAAAGCCACTGACCAGCACCCTGTGGTTATCCGGCTGGCTGGACACCTAGCAGGAGACAGCGGATGACCCACTCATCCATATAACCCAGCTGCTGAATCCCACCCACCCATAGCACGGGAAAGGACCCTGCCGTTCGGTCACCTGGATGTTGGTCACCACAGGCAGCTCCAGGGGCTGGATCTGCACCCGCATCCGGCAGTCCTCGATGTCAATTTTATGTTCCTTGTGTTGTAGCAACTGATCAGCCACTGGAGGGCGGGCGGGGGAGGGAGCGAGGGCAGGGTCAGTACTGAGATACCTTCTGACCTCCCTGCTAACCCCTCCCACCCAAGGCTAACCTTTGGGGTCATCAAAGGTGACCAGAGCAGAACCTCCAGGCAGAGGGCAGCAGATCTTCAAGTTAGAAACCAGAAACTTGGACACTTGCCTGCCCTGCTGAGTGCGGCCTTGGAATACCAGGGGGACCTCGGGCACCGGGAATGGGATCTGGAGGTTGGGAGAGGGAAGCAAGTAATAACCTTCGAGAGTAGGAGAGGTCCCCACCCTTCCCTTCTGAGCAAAACGTCTCCCCCAGTTCTGTTCGATGCTCGGTGCAGAGTGAATGCCTTCACTGAAGAGCTGGGCTGTGTGGTGACGACCGCAGGTCACACCAGACACTTGAGCTTCCTTTCTTTCTCAGGCTGTCCTGGAGCTCGCTCTGTAGACCAGGCTGGCCTCAGACTCACAGAGATCCTCCTGCCTCTGCCTCCCGAATGATGAATGACGGGATTAAAGGCTTGTGCCACCACGCCCAGCTCACACCAGCCGCTTTTCATACAAGCTTTTGGTTTGTCCTCACACAAGCCTGGAATGTAGGTAACTTGACCTCACAGATGAGAAAACTGAGATTCATAGAGCTCAAGCAACACTCGAGGTCACACAGCAAGGAATAGTAGTCACACGGGTGCACGTGTGTCTGTGTGTGTCCAGATACCCATGAAGACCAGAAGAGGGCGTTGTATCCCCCCCGCATCTGGAGTTCTAGGCAATTAGGAGCTGCTCTGATGGGTGCCAGGAACTGAACCTATATCCTCTGCAAGAGCATCCAAGTGCTCTTACCCACGGAGCCATCTCTCCAGTCCCTGGCCAGCCCTTTTCTACCAGGAAAACCTCATTTCCCACCTAACCTTGTCTCTGGGAGAGTCCACCAGCTCCCTTTTCAGCTTCTGCAGCTCCTGCAGCTTCATCCTGAGCCTTACTTGCTCCTCCTGAAGACTGATGAGGACCTGTTGGAGCAGAGGTGGGTGAGAAGGCAGCCATTTAATCCCAGCACCCAGGAGGCAGAGGCAGGCAGAACTCTAGGTTCGAGGCCAGCCTGGTCTGCAGAGTGAGATCCAGTTCTACAGAGAAACCCTGTCTTCGGGGAGAAAAGAAAAAAGGAAGAGGAGGAGGCGGCAGCCATCAGCCTTTCTTGAGAACAAGTCAGCCTTGGGGAGGGAGGTCAGGTCTGGCCTCTCCAGATGCAGAGATGATGCCCAAGTCTCTGACCCCCTTTCCCGGGACTGGCCTGGTCCTGATCCAGTCCACCTCAGGACCCCGAAGCAGCTACAGCTGATTCACGAGCCTAGGTCCAGACTCTAACAAACACTGGTCTAGCTCTGGCTACAAGGCCTTGAGCCCTGCCAGGGAAGAGTCCCGCTGGCCCTCGGTCCTGTACCAAACTCACCCAAGTTCTGTGGCTGACTGGGAAGAGCAGCAGGAGTTTAGAGGAAGGAAAATCCCAACATAAAGGTGAAAGCAACCGAGTCCTCCAGCAGGAGCCTTGGCTAGGGATGGCAAAACGTCACTCCACTGTTTGCTAACTTCTGGTTGTTCTGGGGTTTGAACCCTGGTCTGTGGGCATTCAAGGTGCACACTCTCACTGAACTACACTCCGGCCTGTTTGTTAATATTTACTGAGCTAAACCTGCTTGCTTGCTGTCTACATTTATCTGTGTGAGTGCGCATGTTGGAGGCCTGAGGGCAAGTTTGTGGAGCTAGTTCTTCCTCCCTCCCCGTGGGGTTCTGAGGATTAAACTTGAGTTGCCAGGCTCACCCAGCAAGCACCTTTACCCCTTTTTCTTCTTTCCCCACCTCCTCTCCTCCTCCTTTTTTTTTTTTTTT